ATGGGGATGGTTTCTGAATTAATCTTTATGTCTTTGGGGGTCACGGGAATAATCTTTGCGAAGTGGCTATTCGGACTCCAGTCTGAATAGCCTCCCGTGGCTATTCGGACTCAAACTCCAATGCGCGGAAGTAATACGGGTGCCCATTGGGGGCTCGGGACTGGTCGGGGCGGTTTGCTAGCCAGATTGATGGTGTAAAGCGGCTATCGTGGCATAAGCCGATCGCGCCCAGCTAGTCGGCTCACTCAAAAACGTTGCCCAGTGACTACACATGTACAACAGAAATCTTGAGCGAGGGGTTTGAGAATACGGTCCAGCCATTGGGATGCCATAATTATTATAACAGCTTTAAGGTTTATTTGTGATAATAATATGATACCTATTTAAAGAGAAAATTCAGATGTCTTTTTGGTGTCTTGTGAACGTGGGTAGGCAAGAAAAGTAGGGGTCTGCATGACACTTGCCCGCGAAGAATCTTCTTCTTCCTCTTCTATCACGTGGTTGGGGCAACCGTGGGGGCACCACTGCATCTGACAAACAGCTCTCGCCATTTCTCTCTGTCCTCTGCTTTCCTCAGATTGTCACCCATCGTATTCCCTGTCCACTCTGTGATGTTGTACTCCGATCTCCTTCTCTGCCTTCCACTCTTTCTCTTTCCTTGTACGGTTCCTTGTAGGATTGAAGAATACACCTGGACAAATCCGGGGATGTTCTTGTTTTTAGATACTCGAGATGGCAGATTGGGTCCCCATTGGCACTAAGGTCAAAGGAGGTCATGGGGTCAGATCTAAGGGGTTTAAAGAGAGAAGGGTAGTTCAATGTCGCGCCCCCAACCCCTTCCAAGAGGAAAAAAAAATAAAACAAAACAAAAGCAAAACAAATAATAGAAAAAAAAACACACAGATAAAAAAACGTACATGGTTGGCGGGTCCTCTGGTGTCGTTTTCACCTCCTTTCCTATCAAACATCTGTCGTTCTGCTTCTCCTTCTTTTCTTTGTATATTGTATTACTGTCTTGTAACACTTTTAACCTTCGACACTTGTATGACCTAATTGTGCTGCAAGCTCCGTGCCGTAAAACCAAAGATTCCGGTAGTAAAGAAAGAATCTTTAGTAGAACTCTTACTAAAGTATAAAAATAACCCTAGTGTGAAAACTGTTTCAGTTTTAGTAAGAGTTTTACGGCATTTGCAACACAATAAGGTCATATAAGTGCCGCAAGATTAGATGTGTTACAACAGAGTAACAAACTCAAAAAAGAAGGAGGAGAGATCTGGACGATAGATGTTTGATAAGAAAGAAGGAGCAAACCACACCAGAGCACCCGCCAACCACCCTTGAAAACTGTCAAATTCTTTCTCGTCAAATCTTGGCAAGGGGAAAGCTTTCTGGTGCGATTTGTGAACAGTGGATCAAGTGTGTATGTGTTTGGAGGGGGGGGAGGGGGGTTGAGGGTTGAACCGTGGCACAGGAAACATTGAGTTAATGATTCTGTAAGTGTTTTGGTATTATGCTACATGGAGAGAATGTAATTACTGCAGCAATCACACCAAGGGAAAGAGCTAGCCACGCCAGTTTTCTGACCTTTGCGTTTTTGACAGATGATAGCTGGTCTGGCAGGAAAATAGGAGCTTGTTGTACTTATGTATGTATGTGAGTTCTGGTACTGCTTGTATTAGAGGGAGAATGAGAGAGCAGAGAGAGGGGGAGGGGGGAG